GTTTACATTTCATACTTAGTCAACAAGCTTAAGAAGCAGTGAAGACAACGACGACGACTGACACAGAACAAATTATCACACTTATCATACAATTATTTATCCTGCGTGGAACCAAACCCTCAATAACCTGTGATAGTATCATTAACCACTAAACCAATAAGTCAATCAGTAAAATATAATTTTGGTTCTACATCTAATATGTACAGTCAAGTTTTAAGAAACGGTGACGGGCCTCATCTCCATGAATTTAATGATCGCTTTACGTAACTCAATATTACTTCATAATGGTTATAGAACACTAGCTGACCCGCGCAACTTCGTCTGCGTCTCTCAATAGTAATCAATTTTCTCCGTTTTTTAAACATTCTTCATTGGTGCTCCGCTCCTATTGGTCTTAGCGTGATGATATATAGCCTATAGCCTTCCTCGATAAATGGACTATCTAACACTGAAAGAATTTTTCAAATCGGACCAGTAGTACCTGAGATTAGCGCGTTCAAACAAACAAACAAACTCTTCAGCTTTATAATATTAGTATAGATTACATTATGTGTAATTACTACATACACAGCTACTGTTATTCATAAAATTATGATGTCAATAGTCGCTCGACCGTTGCAGTACTTACATAGATCTGAATATTTAAGCGTATGTAAGTTTCTACATATCATAGTATCATATCATTGTGTTTGAGAGTAGAAATTCTTCTGCTACAAATGGACAGGATCGGAGGGAGCGGAGCTAGAAATGGTTTCCAATGTTTCTGATGCTGAAAATTTAGTGCTCATCGAATGGGAAGAAGAAGAGGAAACACATTCGTCTCCAAAAAATACAAAGAAGATAAGGGAAGAATAGAGAACATTTCAATAATACAACCATTAACGTATAAAATAGCAGTACCAGTACAAATGCGTATACTTAGCAATGATTATTGAAATAGTTTGTCGTACCGTCACAAGTCTATTAACCTGGATCTATTGTAAGTTTACATCTGTGGTCCGACTTCTACAGAGTACCTATATTTACTATTTCACTTGACAATTCACACTTGCCGTATTTTATGCCTATGCCATTCATTTTAGTTTCCAACAGGCGATGGAATGGAAAATATTTCTACAATCGCATAGTTAATATTTTTCGAAAATTTAGCACCTAGGCTGGAAGCTTTAAGATAGCGAAATGTACCAAGTGCCTACTGTTTTTTTTTAATACCGTATTGTTAACAGGACAACAGCACTGCAAAGAGAAGGAAAACTTGACACAAACCCTATGCCAACCCGTCCGGTTTTGACGAGCGTGGTATAGTTCGCCAAAACCTCCTTTCTAAAGAGTGGTATATGTACAACAGTGAACTGTTATACGCTAATGATGATAAATAGTCTGACAAAGGAGATATTGCTTAGGCACAACATAGCTACTCTTGAAAAAAAAAGACACAAAAAGTCTGTCAATATTATGACCGTTGGAAATTGTATCTTTTAATAGGTCCTTTTGTCGAGAAACAAGAGAAATATTAAACGTGGTGAAGGTCTATGATTTACTGACGTGTGTTTCAACGCTCTTAACTAGATTACGTTTTCTAGGGCACTTTTTATTCAGCGAGTCGTGTATATGTTACTGTAAAAGGCCGACCTATGGTAACAATTGCCACTGAAACTTGAAAGTCGGAAATGATACCAGAATTATTCATTTCTTACTTTTACCACCATCTATTATTATGATACAATTAGTAATTCTCAATGCCACAGTTTTGTTAAAAGTAATATGGGAAATTGTGGTGTGGTTTATTCAAAATTAGACCCAACGTGAATGTGAGTTTACTTATTACGCTTTATATTTAGGTACCTAACATACAGTCAGAAAGAGTATTGAACACTCACATTTAAAAATCCTAAACTACGGTCCATCTTACATAGTAAGAAGTGATCCATTGCCGTCTACTAGGTACTCCTCTATTTGATAATAGGAAAATTAGAAATATGACGAAATTCCATTTCGAAAACCCACTCCTAATTTTCCTATTACCTACTACAGAAAGGAAGGCAATTGAACGTAATGTGTTACGTACTTTTATAAATGGATTGGGTTGATTTGTAACAGAGAGTATTGTCTACGATATTTCAACCGACACGACCTTGAAACATTCGACAAAAGAGCGTACTCCTTCCTCAAAGGCCGGCAACGCGCTTGTGACTTCTGAATTGCAGGCGTTCAGGGGCGGTGGTAGTCACTTTCCATCAGGTGACCCGTCTGCTTGTTTGCCTCCTTTTGACTAACAAAAAAAATAGAAATCACCATGATCATTATTATTATGTCTAAAGTGCATTTTAGTTAGTATTTTCGAAATTTTTCATTAATAAAAACGTAAAATTAGTACCTAATATTTCAATTTCAATGACCGTATCAATCAGTGGTATTGAGCTCGATTAAATAGAATTACAAATATAAACAGACGGATCGCCGCCAATTATAAACCCAACCTTCAAACTCAAAATGTTATGGCTACGTGTTAATTTCGACTGCCCTTGTGGTTTAGTAGTGACTAGCTAAAACAAAGGTCGTGAGTTCATTTCCTACACAGGACAGGTGATTATATGATTTTATTCAGTCTCTTGAGTATAATATTTATGTATTTAAAAATATGTAAGTTTTTTTATCAACAGTCTTATTAATATATTACATACTTTGTAAAGTTTGTGATCATAGAGTCGTGTCAGATTTTTAATACCATTGTTATCATATTAAATAAATCTGCCAGACTTCCTTTCACTAAATTTAATTTTAAATTTTCAATGGATGGCGTAAACGAAGCTGATTCACTTATTTTATTTATTACTTATGTAATTAGATCCCTGAGTTATGTTAAGAGTACAGATACATGAACTTGTCCAAATGTAAACAATCCCGGAGAACTCACAACAATGAACTAGTGTCGTGACTTCTCACAATATATTGTGTAAATAATGTTGCGCCATGGGATTAAATAGTTCGTATTGTTCCAGAATTGTATGGAATGTGGAGGTCAGCGCCATCTAGTGTCACGTAAAGTGCAACTGTTAATATTGTGATTAATAATTCTGATCTTTACAGCGCTAGATGGCGCTGCAAGTAACGCACCTTACGAAGAAAAATATTTAGTCAACATTTTAACACTACTACGTCTTTACCTGAGAAATATAGGAATTCACGTTTGTGCAAAATAAAGAGAATTTTTCTCTCTCTCTCTCTCCCCTTCTCTCTCTCAAGCTATACATTGCGCTGGTATGAAATTGTGAAATGAACAGAAAAATTATGTTGGTAATAATTTCATTTTAAATTTGAAATTTATGTATCTTTTCAACTCTTATAAGTTTTGTGACTAGGCCGTCAAAACACTAGGATCACAAAAAGCAGAATTCAGAAGTGAATATCAGAATCACTTATTGCCAATCTTCTGTATCTTTCGTTCAATATCATTTCTATTTATGTAAATATATTGTATGAGATACATACGTCCTTTATTAGACCTATTTCATTTTTTATAACTCATGAAGGAACCTTATTCAATTTTCCTGCCATTACTTTCTTTGAAAGGAAATAAAAACTCCTCATTTGATATTCATGCCTTTCCGTAATCTTGCTACGCAGGTGTTAGCTTTTCATCAAGTATCCCAAACAAATCAGTACAGACATTATTCAAACAACATCGATGCTTCGCACACCCGGTGTTTTTTATGTGCGGCAATCCTTTCGGATACCACCCACCGGTGGCTATTTGCTTCGCAAACCCCTAAAATTGAATCCTAAGTAACTTATTACGGGCCGAAGAAACTTTATTATTAAAGAAATATACAAAATAAAGTAAATAAACCGACGCTAGACGGATCTTATTGCTCTCTTTCTGAAAAAAAAAGAACGGGTCAGAAATCGCACGACGTCGAATAAAAATAGTTTTGTTAATCCTTTGTTGTTATCACCTCCTCGACTTTGTTGCTTAAATTAACTTACTTTTTAAAAGTTTATAAGTTAATTACAAGTCTGCGGAACTGATATGTCCAAGCGAACTAGGTCGCGGCAAATATACGGTGGCAAATTTTTCAAGCTATAATTGTCTAAATTATCTTCAAGAAAATAAGCATCAACGGTCATAGGCACTTCTCTAAGTTCAAATAAAACATTTTCTTTAGGACTATTTCTTTTTAAAGAGCTTATGGAAAATAGCGTCCAAGAAAGCGGAAGATTCCGTTTATACAGTCGTCTCAAATCAGAATAGAATACTTTAAATTTATTACCTCGACAGGAACCGTTTCTCAGGTGTTAAACAGGTCAATTTAAACCTGCTTTGTTTTGCTATTTCATGCTAAATAAATTTCCGGTTCTAAATGTTAACTTTGTTCCTTTCTTACAAATTAGATCAGATTTGACGTCCTTATCTTAGCAGAATAGAGTAGCGAGTATTCATGAGCTAACCTGGATTTTGAAATGGCACAAGGTGTAATGGCTCCGTTGACTTTTGAATGTTGATGTGTTATTTGAAAGTATGGTGGGTAGAGGCAAGGAGAACCATCTCTGTGTATGAAAAGTGTCCGTGAAAACGCGTCCAATAAGGGTGGCGCTGCGGTAGCCCAGGATAAATTTATATTGGCTTTAATAATGATTGGACACTGTGTACTAGACTGTGAAAGTAGTCAATGAGTATTAAAGACAATAAATAAATAATTTTTAACTCAGCACACTTCACAACTTCGTCTACAACAGCTATGTTCATATTGTAGTTTTTCGTAACGCCAGCGACCTCTATTGCCAGAATACAGCTGGACACTTTCAACCTTTCCCCCATTTGAGATGGTTCTCCTTGCCTCTGCACTCCGTTTTGAAAGAATACTTTAATAAATAACCTTTTCAGTTGACATTAAATAAATATTTTAGGTAAATGTCATCATTAGTACATGTTTCTTAATTATACTTTGAATGGTAATTTATATGTATTGAAGTTAACAAAATATTTGTCTTTATTTCAGCGAGCAGCGGGCGAAGTCACGCGGCGCCCCAATCTGAGGAACTACAGCACATCACCACAGACAGCGAGCTGGAACACCGAATCTCTGAACGGCAGGGCCGAGCAATGTACTATGCAAAGACGCCGCCCACCACGCAAGTTCCCAACGTCACGGAGAATCAAACAGAAACATCAGATACAAACGCAACGATCACGAACCAGACTGAAGTGTCACCGATACAATGGACGCAAGTTAATATTACTGAAGTAACCAAAAGCATAGCATCTAACGTCACCTCAACTGTAGCTCCAATCACTAATCTAACTGAAACGCATAACACGACGTTCACTGCAAAAAAACGTAATTTGACTAGACCCGATTTCGTCAAAGAAGGAGGCGGGAATGCTGCTGAGAGCAGGATAGTAACTGAAAAAACATTATCACAGGAGACCCCATTTTCTCAGTCAAGGATACCATTGAATATAGAGTCTTCTAGACGAATAATAGACCAAGGCGATGGTGGGATGGACACGGGAGCTATAGCTGGCATATCTTTTGCCGCGTTGGTGCTAGCTGCTTTGGCTGGAAGCACAGCTTTCGTATTATATAGAAGAAGGTACCTGAACAAACCTCAAACTTTGAACGACAAGTGCTCCAACCCAGATTCAAGTGGTTATCTTGATGACAGTACTATAAGGGTAAGTTCATTTATACGCGGTAAATTTTGTTGTTTAAAATAAAGTTAAAAATAGTAAATGAGCGTGACTTGGTGACATTTTATATTTAAAAACATTTATCCTAGTTTATTCGACTTCAAATAGTTGTGTTATGTGAACAGCTTTTCATGATTAGTTAAAGCGTTTACAAGTTACTAATATAGAACTAATTACAATTTCAGGATAACTCCGAGGAGATGTACAGCTTGGACAATGACTCTTTCCTCAACTCCTTAGAAGCCATGACAATCCAGAACTACTGGACGGACACTGTCAAGCACACCAAACTCTGATTAAGCAATCATGCCAAATTACGTCACAAACTATAGTACACGATTATAATATACTATAACATTCGCGGGACCGACCATAAAGTTGACTATAGACATAAGAGAAACCATAGATATAATAGAATGACAGAACGACAGAGATATGACGGATATACAATGACACGTACGGGTTTGTTTCACAGAATTTATTGACGGTTGTAGTTTTTAGATTTAAGATGCATCATCGGATTATTAAACAAAAACAAGAGCGTTCAAACATTAACGTAGACATTTTAAGGTGACATACTCGTATGTTTTGTCCCAAAGTAGAATTAAAAGATTTATACTAGACATTATTAAACTATTTCTGAAGTACATTAGAACTTTATTGTTATTTATATCAAGTGAATGTGAATTCGAAATATAAATGAAAACAGGACTAAGCAGAATATGAAATACAGAAAAATGGGTTCTATTTTACACTAAGCCAAAAAAATTAAGGTTGTCATTTTGACATAAAACTTTTAGTTGGCATATTAAAATTTTTGTAGGGTTCGTACGTTTCATGTAAAGTATTTTTTTTAGCCCCAGGATTTTGGTATTACAGTAAAGTTCTTTTTGAACGGACGCTAAATATTTGGTAAATCTTTAAAATTGGTAGAAAAAACTACTAAAGTAATTAAGACTATAACAGTTGCATTAAAACGTATTACGTAAACTTTTATCAAATTAATTATCACTAACATCACGGTACGATATCAATTCCGAAATGGAATGTACTAAAATGTTTCTATGTAAATTAAAAAGGAATATAGCTTGGTGAAAGAAGTGCATGTCTTGTGTATCAATCAAAAATGTACTTAAGCGCTCCTGAATCCAAAGCTCACATTTTCGAATCACTAAATGATATTTCATCAAATATCTGTGTTGTAAATTTAACACGAAGAGAAGAGTTTATGACAGGCCTACGGTTGTCAGATAGGACTTGATGAAAACCCCCAACAAAGAAATGGAGGCGATTTGCATTTCTTAGTTTGATCAATAATGTATTACCTTTCTTTAGAAAATATCATCTATTGTATTATATAAAAGTAAATTTTTCTTGACGGCCATTTTGGAATTGCTGTCAAATTTGTCAAATATTATCATTGGCCGAATGTCATTCGGTCCTATATGGTCCGGCGGTCCAAGTCATCAAAATCTGTGTACCTAGTTAATGTTATAAAGATCAAGAGTCAGTATTCGTGAAGAATGCTTGACGTTTGCTATCATTGTAACATTTTGACTAATAGTAGCAGATACTGATAGTTCTGGACCAGGACAGAAAAAGAATAAATTGTTTATAAAACGGAAATGTTTAAATAACATAAATCAGTATTTGTATAATGTAGGTTCGTCTATTTTTTTAATGTGGTTGTAAATTTCAAATAGTGACATGTAATGCACGTATAAGTAAGATAGACAGGATTATGATATTTAAAAAAATGTAGTAATAATTTATATTAGATCATTATGTTTGTGTTAATTTTGTAAATACATAATAATTGTTGTGATAATTTTTGTTAGATTATACAAATAGTAATTAACAACTGAAACTTGTTTGTAATGTTGGAAACTATGTAACTAATTATAATTAACAAATATTATGAATAGGACCTAATTACTGTTAATGAGAAGCCTTGAGGCAATTATCATATTAAATGAAACTGTTATTCATGCTGCAATATGTTTACCAATACGGTAAAATAATACACTGTAGTATATTATTATATTTTGGCAAAATATAGTATGAACTACAAACTATGAGATACATTACGAACAAATTTCAGAACATTTTAACAAGATGTCCATAAAATCTGCGACTAAAATGTCGCAATCAGATTTTTAATAATCTGCTTTACATTTAACGTTGAGTCGCAGTCTCAAGACATTCTTGTTATATCCCAGTAGCTTGTAACGTATAAATTACATATTTTTATATTTTCACCTTTGGTGAATACTTTCTGTAGCGATACCTTATTGACACTAGTTTTGTATGTCGATCATGTAACACTAATCTGTGTCTATATGTATTACCTATATTCTTACACCACTTAGTTAGGTGCTAAGTGCAGTATTAAGGCAAATGAATGCCTTTAGTTTTCATAAACAGGTTTATGTTAATAAATCTTAATCATTAGCAACGTAAGATAAATTACTTAATCTTGAATGTTTCTCTAAAATGAATTCCGTTATCATTTAAATACATATTCATGTGAAATACGGTAGTTTGGCCCATTCATGCTTCGACGTATATATATAGTTCAATGTAACAGTCATTACTTGAATCAACATGAAATGTGTATTTCGATTTAATACTTTATTTCTTGTACAACAAAGTTCTATTTCAATTTTAATGTACAAAAATACAGGCATGTCAAAAATATTTAAATTTATATTTCTTCTAGACCATACTAATGAATATTGACGTAATATTTACAAAAAAAAACAGAGATGGATGCGAATTTGTATAAAAAAGAAGTAAAACCCATTTCTTGTACTAAATCATCTTGAAACCATCTCCAATCAAACTATTAATTACAAAATATAGCTAAAAATTACATGCTTTGAAATTTAAACCTCAAGTGTTGTATAGAGTGTGATGCTAACAAGTATCGTTACTACGACAAGTCTGAGTGTGAATGGGCAGTTTTAGGCATAAGGAAGTGATCTCAATATATCATTTTTAGTAATCGTGGGAAATCTATGTGTGTGATAGCTTTAAATTGTCATACATAATAATCAGTATCTGTTAAAGAAAAATATAGTTATTGTTACAGATATGTATTTTTCGTGTGAGTTCCTGTGGTGATGATGACATATAAAACTCATATTGGTTTAAAAATTGTGGTATTTTTTTATTTAATAAAGTTTAAATATTAAAAAATGTTTTGTTCCTTTTTTAAATTATTAGAATTCAATAGATAATCAAAAATAATTTCAAATAAGTAAGTGACGTAGTGATTATAATTGAGGTAAATTACTTAATATATTAATTTCAAATGTAATATTTTTTTAATTAAAAAATGGAATGCTTTATTACATCATAGTTTTGTTGCTATTGCTACAGTCACATTTTATTTTAGCACGCTTTTTTCAATACAATGCAATTTTATATACAAATACAACTTACTAAAATGGCATAGAAATGCGTAGTAATGTCAACGATTCTACGCATTTATAACTATTTGTTTTTATGACTATTTTAATTGTGATTCTAGATCCGTCCATTAATTACAATTCTGTTGCTATTACCTTTTGTTACCTGGCAACATTTTATTAAAAATATAAAAATAAATCAAAACTTATTGATCAAAATGTTTTACGTTTTCATCGTCAGTCATATCAAAATTAGTATTATTTGTAAATATATATTTCTTGTAAGTGTTGTGTGAAGTATTCAATATTCGTAACATAGAATAATTCGGTCGGACACTTCTAATATCCGAAAATATGGTACTAAATAGAACACTCTGGACAACAGTAATATTTATTAAAAAATCCGTGATATAATATTTAAATCTAATATCCAAAGTAGTAGCTTTTTTTTAAATATTGTCTACTAAATCATGATATTAAGTATAACTTTGAAACTGACTCCTTGAAATGGATCCTCAATCAGCTTCATAACATATTCAGGTATTAGAATTGTCAGACAATACTTTTTCTTGTAATGGATATTTTAATGTATAATACCTATTATAATTAAAATAAAAATGTGTTGTGAAATACATATTATTTGAATAGTTTTGAAAACTATCAATAGTAACCTATACCTACTTATATAATAGTTGCCATAGAAAAAAAAGAAACTGTTAAAGGTTTAATTAAAAGCTCCCAGTACGAGGTGCTAGGAAAGATTTTGTCTTTAGGAAGAAATGTAAAAACCCCCGATTCTAAGTAGATTACGGTTAATGTGGAATTGGTTTTTAAGCCGAAATACATTAATACATTAGTATCATTACATATATTTTTACTTGAAAATTGTTTTTTTTTTATCCATAAAATCCTGAATCCTCCTTCCTTAAAAAAAAATTGAAGTTGCCACCCTTTTTAAGTCTCATGTATTGAGTAAGTGAAACATGTATTATGTTCTTTTGTAAAACTAAAACAGTACGGGTTGTAATAATATTTGGTGCTTGATTAGGGAGGGCCCTAGCAGTGGACGCAGTATTTTAAAAATATAAAAGTAGCTTTATATCCTCAGATCATACAAACAAATGCTTGTCTGTATAATCTGAGTTTATATCCTGCAGTCGATATAGCCGGTTATTACCCTAGTACGCGGCGAGTAATAAAGGTTGCAGTGGAGAGACAGTAAGGGACCGTCTAGACTGCTGTCTTTTAACTCCTTCATAGATCATTATGCACATAGAACAAATAATGGTTTATGGTTTAAGACATTTATTTCCTCAAAAGAATATTTACATTCGTTTGTCAGAGAAAATACGAGATAAAAATAGTAAGTAACAAGTGCCGGAGCGGTGCTTAAATTACATATTATTGTTTTTACATCTAAGTAAATAAATATGTAGTACAAAACTATTAATAAATAAATAAAGAGGGTAGCTATCACAAAACAAAACCAGCCGGACCCACGCCTGCCGAGATTACCAAGTTTGCAATATTGCAAGTTGTAAGCAAGGATGTTATGGCCGTATTACGTATTGTATGGCGATTGCTATCGTACTTCTATCGAGTGACTGTTATCATGTTTTTTTCATTTTCTTTTTTATATTAGCTTTTATTTTAACTAATAATGTAATCTAGCTATCGCCCATCTATCAATTATAGTTTAATAATAATAACGTCACGATTCTCACACCGCCGTTTTTATCCTAACCTAGGCAGATCGACAGCACGGATGGCGTAGTGGTTTTAGCGGTCGCCACGCCGCTTACTACTACGACACTGTGAGATCCACAAATTGTTATTCTGAGTCTGGGTGTTCTTTGTGTCCGCATCATGTATGTTTGTAACGTCCCCTGCAAACCTATAATATTCCTAATGCGGTAGTTGTCTTTTTAAAAGAAAAAGTAAAAAAAAAACAAGAAAGATGCTGTGTTATTGTAACCAGACTGCTGATAAACATACATCGCACCCTCGGTGCAACAAAATCACAACACGTCATTTTGTAATTTTACAGGAACGGACTTTTAAGTTTTTTTTCGATCAATTTTCCTTTTTTCTAGATTACTTCCTACAGCAGCCGGGATATCTCATTAAAATTATATTATTTGTTCTTTTAACTACAGTATCATGTAAAAAGATTTCTTTGATTTTATTAGAAAATTGAAAAAAAAAAGGAAACAAAAAAAAAGTCGTAACTTGTGACTATGTCGCACCAGGTACAAATATAATTTAATTATTTGATCGTTATAATGGCACTTTGTTATTTCAATATACGTGAATAAAAAATTTCATTAATACCTTTAAGCTGGTGTAGCTCCAAGTCACGACTGACTCATGCGGCATGACGACATGTAAATATTTCTACATATTATATACATAATATTATAGATAAAGGACACCCAGACTAAATCATTACACAATTATTTGTCCTGGGTAAATCGAACCGACGACCTTTGGCTTAGTACTCAGGGTTACTAATCGCTAGACCAATAACCCAGTCGAACCATGTTACAATATAGAAGTCTGATTATCCCCATTACTACTAAGACCTGAATGTAGATCTTCCCAACAAATACGACCGTCTTCTTAATTAATCATTTCATTTATTTTTAACCTGCAAAAGAAAGTTGTTATAAAGTAAATAAGGTGACATTTTTGACGCTTTTATAGATATGCTAGCTGACCCGATTAACTTCGCACCGCCATTTTTTTTCGTGAATATTACTAAATTGTGAATCTAAACCATTCTCGAATCCACTTAAACTTACACAAAAAAAAACAAAATCAGTCCAGCCGTTTAGGAGGAGTTTAATGACATACACAAGCATAGAAGAGTTACGAGTATAAATTTATATATAAAGATACGAATCGAGACAGGTTTGCCGTGTTCTCCTGACCTCCTGCCCTTAAAATGAGTAACTGTCAAAATGATGTAAGATCTATCCTTGTCTTCTTTCCATACTGCAATGGAATGGAACCACCGGCAGTACACGGATACAAGTGCAGGTGCATGGTGGAATACATGGTGCATTATCCTCATATGACAAAGAATAGACACTAGTAAAAAATAATGAGCAAACAGTACTTTAATTTTTAGGTTTACAAATTTAACATTCAATGGGTACGATATTTAGATACCCATAAACTTTTGAGACAATTAATTTCACTTTAAATATTTGTTTCGTTACGACAAAATAAAAGTAAGAAATGTATGTATGTATGTAAAACCTGAACGCTTGATTATAATAAGTTATTTAAAAGACGTTCTACATGGCCAAAACTCATTCACTTCATAAAGAAAAAGTGTTAATTATTAATGATAAAAATAGGTTATTCTACACTTGTTTAATTTGATATTTATAATAAAATATTATATATTTATATTGTATCTATTATATTATAAGATGTACTAAAAAAGTATTAAAAGGTACATATCGATGCCTAACTGCCAAAAAAGGATAACCGCCACTTTTTAAATTTTACAGGAGAGTTATTTAAAGTTACAAATATACGAAAAAAATCATAAAAAGTAAAGTATAGCTCCCGAAAGGCTGGAAATGCATTTTTGTAGCAAAAAGCACACTATCTATCAAATGACGTTGTTATTTTTATATAATTTAGCCTACAAACACTAGTTACTGTCGGTTATCCCCAAACGGTCTTCGTTTTACAAACAGCGAAAATGTCGTTAATGAAATACACAAATTATTCGCTTCCAGCAAAAATGATGTAACTTTACCTAATGCTTCATTTAAATTGACGAAAAATAGCACAAGTCTATTTTCAAAAAACAAAAAATGTGGAAATATGTATAAGATATCTAATGAAAATTTACTGAATGCAAAATTATATCAAGTTCAATTTTTTAAAGAAATATTAATTATGGCTATTGGATTCTATTATGTATTTCGATGGACTACTTCTTTAAAATTATATTCGGATCAGAAAACATTCCAGGTTCACCGAGAGGTTTAAATAATAAGAAAATATAATTTAATTAATCATTAAAGACTGATCTCTTTTATTAACTTAAAAATGGCACCTAGATACTTACAAAATAACAACTGTTCATAATAAAGGCTTATATCACAAGATTCGTGGTCAAACTACAATAAACGACCAATATGTTTTAAAAACGAACAGGCATAAAGTACTGAACGGATTTCAACAAATTATTATCCATAGACAAATTAACATGAAAGCATATTTCTGAATTTTTACTTCCAGCTGAAATAGGTTAACGTTCGATCATTAAAATATTACAAAAAGTCCAAAAAGCATAAGTTCTTTATTCTCAAATATTTCATAATTAGTACAAAACGAAACGTTTCTTCACGTTTTTATTTATATAAATCACGCTGTCATTTCCGTCAATGTCAAACTGATATTTGCTTGATTGTCCAGAATCCAGTCTCACAGAGCACTCAAACACGGACCGCTGTTGTTAATATTTTCAACTAACAGAAACAATATTGAAAACATGGTTCAAGCTTGGTTCATGGACAATGAGACGACTGACCAACGTTTGGAGCATCACAGGAATCCACCAGAATTCATATCGCTCGAGGATTTGTTCAAAAAAACTGGTGTCGAGTATTTCAAAGTAGGTATTTTACGTCGTACATTGTTAATTGTCTTTATCAATATCTTAAACTAATTATAACTATCAGTGTCTTCTGTAAATAGTAAGTAAGTTTTGCGATTTTTTATGCCAATTAATCGACAAATAATAAATTGTACAATAATAGAAAACAAACGATAATACAACAAGTAATTTAAAAAAGTTTCAATTTTTATATAACTATATTATTGATAACGTTGAATTGGTTTTAGAATCCAACGTTATCAATACTCATGTGTACTCTTCGAAATAACAGTTTTAGAAACATAATTCAACCATTTATAAGAATAGACCTCTTTTAGAGATATGTTCAATAAAAGGAATTAAATCTCGCAGATTTAATCTCATATATCCACACCCACACTTCTATTATACTAACACTACCTTTTCCTTTAAAATAAAGACATACTTGCTTTATATAAAATTGTTGGAAATCTTCCTACACTGACAGCGCTTAAGTATATAATCTAGGAAACGAAAATTTTAAGGGGTGGAAAACACTGGTGTCCTGAAACATAGACCTAGAGCCTAGCTTAGGCACCAGTCTGCTGGTCCGGATGTCTTAATAATAGCAGTTCCTAGATCCCTCCTATTACAGGCGCAGAGTGGCACACCGTGTGGTTTTGGTCAGTCGGATTCCAACACACCATCCCGCCGTAAACCCTGGTGGGATGACAGCGTGAGTGGGTTTCCACACGTAAAAGTCTCCTGCAATATATACTGACCTGAATTATGTATACTTAAGTAACTGCTTGTTGTAAATTCTATATTGTAGTGAGAAAATAAATTAGATTATTATTATCACTTGCGCAATACTATTTCCTTATCCCAGTGTCTCCTTTGGATGTTTCATTTCTAGGAAAGAGCCTCTGTGCATGCCTGCCTAGACGTGGACTAATCTATATCTTCAAATTGCAGTGATACACTCATTCAAAGGTTTACTGAGACTCCATTTAATGACACATAACATTACTTCAGGATGCACCACTGCAATCAAAACAACCTTTTGTAACTGCTTCAAACGAAGTAGTAAAATACACATTTGACATATCATTACAGTTGAATGTCGACACCTTTGCAACAGATGGAGTACTTGACAAGCTGAAGGCAGAGAGGGGATACACCTACGAAGATGAGATGGTGTGCTCCAAAGAGTGCCTACCAAATTATGAAGAGAAGATTAAGTCTTTCTTCACGGAACATTTGCATACTGATGAAGAAATCAGGTAGGGTGAGAAATGGTTTTTAACTTGATGTGATTACGGACGGTTGAAAGTTGTTGATGATGATGATGATATGATATGAACCAATTACACCCAGATAGAACAAATCATCTTGCACATACAATTATTTCTCCTAGGTAGGAATTTAACCCACAACATGGCTCATCAGTTAACATTTTTAATCACTGTATCAACTATCCAACTATATTCTAACACATTTTTGTAAGCTACCTACATATATAGAGCTACCATCTCTAAAAGCTGCCCCCCAGAACCAGAAGCGTAAGTTCCCCGGATTTAGGAGCTTTCACCCTGGACATTTCAATATTTTTTACTCCATACTTGATAGAAGAAAACTTAAACCCTTAAACTTAAAGACTACAATTTAAACCCCGCTCGGACGCTCCCCGTACGTCCTCCAAACTAGGACAAATCCGGGGAATCCTGGACGGATAGCAGCCCCTACCTACATTAACATGTTACCTTCCAGGTTCGTTCTCGACGGTTCCGGTTATTTCGACGTACGCGACGCGGCGGATCAGTGGATTCGCATCGCCGTGAGCGCCGGCGACATGATCGTCATACCCAGAGGCATCTATCATAGATTCACACTTGACACCAAGGTTAGTATCCTTCAATATAGCTTTGTAACCTAAAGAAGGACATTTGGTGATCATAGGATTTTAAGCTTTGAAGAATCCGTGTTATATTTTGTATATTTAAACTAACTGGCAGCGGTTTCGTTCGCGTGATTATTTCTAATTTCGTATTTCTAACTGAAAATAACTTCCATACAACCGTTCATTCCTTGTTTTATCCCCTTAGGGGTAAAATTTCTAAAACCCTTTGTTAGTGGGTGTTTACAACATAAAAAGCATCAGCTAACAAAACTTCAAGTTTCAATCAGAATCCACAAATCAGAATACTAGAACGAGACAACTGCTGGCCGCACATTCGCATTGTCTCTCTCTTACTTTTCGGTCTGTATTCACTGCACAACTGAATGTGGAACGCTCAGTCCATTCTCTATGTCTATGGGTGCACCATCTGCTCGTTTGGTCTTCTATACCATAAAAAACATTTTCATTTAAACTGTCGTGAAATTATACTCAAAAATATTTGACATGTTTCAGAACTATATAAAAGCCAAGCGTTTCTTCATCGGCGAGCCGGTGTGGCTGCCGTACAACAGGCCCGCTGACGACCTGGACTGTCGCAAGGAGTACGTAGAGAAACTGAACAAGGGCTTTGTTGCACCAGCCTGCTAGCTGTGTGTACAAGTAGGGAAAAATCATTACATAAGGTGGGTGACCATTAACATAACTCACAGCCCATGAATCTCGTTATACAATCTGGTTAAGCAGTATAGTCTAGATAAGTTTATAAATTATTAAAACATTTGAAGCTGACAGTGACTCAGATGTCACTGCTAGCGTTAGTCCCGCTGTAAAGATTTCTCGTACATAGCAGTCTGTTAAACTGTTTTATTAAGAGAAGGTATTAATTTTTTTTTAAGAAGTCGGTCACCAGCTACTGTCAAGAAACCACAGTAACAGGTGGATTAGAAATTATGACAGAATCGAATTCATAATTTATTCTACTGCCTTATTTATTTTATTTTCTTAGGGAAACAAACAGATACAAGTAAAAAATAATAATTCATATACAGATAAACATCACACAAGGCAATACAGTTTCCACATATGATTTTACAATAGTGCAAAAAAATATTTTTTTTAAATATAAACTAAAATTAAAACAAAACTAATATTCACTAAAGCACAGTAACATTTGTGACAACATAGAACATCTCAGTGTTAAAAAGAACAGTTCCGAAGTAAATATAGAGAGAAAAAATAAATTTCAGTTATTTCCCGGGCGGACAATAATGGCATTGGTTTTAAATCAAAAAAAGAGATACGAAATCAGATCCACATGATTATTCATTACAAATATTATATTTTTTATGATGTAAGTGGCAACTGAATCACCTGAGAGAAAGTCTGCAGCTTAAGTAACACAAGAGTGTTGCTACCATTAAGAGTCCCTCCTCCTATGATTGGGGGAGGGAATTTTTAGGCCTGCGTATAATCTCACTCACTCAGTGAAAAGCAACGAAACAAAAGAGAGAAGTAAATACATACTTGGAAATTTAAAAATTTTTGATTATAACAGAATTTTATTTTAATTTTTTCGATTCGAAAAGTACCGACATGAATATATATCTATGTTGTGCGTATATACCATAATCCAAAGTCAACTCTCGTGTAAACGGGGACAATATATGTAGATGCTTATATACAGAGGTGTCGGTAACGGTAACAGAGTCGCGAGTTCAATGGGTTTTTCAGATCTCAAAAAATAATTATTTAGCACGCCTAAAGAAGTCTTCCCTTCAAAAATAGTTCAATTGCTTATTCCTAATATCTGGGAGCAGAGATTCCACGAGATATGTGAGTTTCGTTAATAGTCCCCCTCTAATTCTTCCAAGTATGATCATAAACGTGTTTGTATTGTGTAATATTTAAAAAGTATGTATACCGTAAAAATGAGATCTGATAAAAAATGTAATTGGCCGTGTTTATGATGTCTCTTCCTAACCGTGCATCATTGCACAATCTGCCATTTTAGATTGTATGTGATACAGTGTAATTTTTATAGAATTAACGATGTAGCTAATTTTGTATCATAGTAATATCAATTGGAATGCAACTTTTATTTAAAAAAAATGTGGAAGTCTATTAAACATATCTTTTTTTTATGAAATAGGGGGCAAACAAGCAGACGGGGTCACCTGATGAAAAGCGACTACCGCCGCCCATGAACGCCTGCAACTCAGGAGTCACAAACGCGTTGCCAGCCTTAGAGGAAGGAGTACACTCATTTCTTGAAGGTTTGAAGGTCGTCTCGGTCCGGAAATACCGCAGCCTATAACTTGGTCAACAGGTTGGTAGTGCGAGGCAAAAAGTGTCTTGAAAAGCGTACAGTGGTTCAGCGCCAATTATCCAAGTGGTGGGGATGAACATTTTTGTGGTGTGGAAAGATGGTGGGAGGTTGCGGCCGGTATTATTCCAAACAATTCGTGGGAGCACTCTCCATGATAATGTCTTTAAATATCTTGAGCAACTTATTTCTCTATGGTCACTCACTGGTGAATTTCTAATTATAGATACTCTGGGCAGCATTTTTGTAGTCTCTTACTGGCAAGGATGCCGATACAATTTGGTAGCTTTGTGTAATTTGGCCTTATTTTACCAGAACAAGATGTATTAAGTTTTTGTTCTATGCGTACTGTGTATTAACACATAAATATAATGCAGGCACATATATTCTTTAAGCAGGAAAGTCAACTAAGTTTATTGAAACAGTTTTGTATAAGCGACATTCGTTTAATTATATATTATATTCCTTTAGAATTGAAAGACATAGTGTCCCAGTTGTTTTGTTCTTCTGTGTTAAAGACTATACAACAATTTTTCATTCTACTAAGAAATGCAAAGCAGATCTATACTAATGTTATAAAGTTGAAGAGATTGTTTCAAATTCAAATTATTGCGAAAATGGGTAGGTACAACACTACCCATTTTAGCAATATAGTAATATTTCGTAACAATAGTACTATTGTGATATTATCTTGTGGCATAGCTTCTCCATTATCGGTTTGTTTGGTTGATTGAACGCGCTAATCTCAGGAAATACTGGCTTGAATTGAAAACATGATACTATATGGTATAATTATGATAGCCAAGCATCAATGTAAAATGGTGCAAAAAAACATGAAAAAAAATATTCCTTCATTTCACTGTTCAGTTACTAATAATTATATCTAACTATACTGGCCTAATGCATTTTGTTACTTTTATATCTAAATGACTGTAGTTTTACATATTTAAATGAAAAAATAAAAAGTAGTTATCAGCAAAACAAAGCTAATAATCTTTTTAAAGATAAGGACACTTGTATTATTATTTAATACTAATCTGAGTCCAAAAGTAAATGTTTGTTAAAACAAAACGAATTTGAAAATTGGGAAAATTATGTTAAACATTTTGTGTATGTATAGTATATTACATGTTTTTTGGGATTATATTTAGTCAATGTATATAGAGATATTTATATTAAAAAGGTCTTGTATCCCTTTTATATCTGTTATAATAAAGATTGTTGAAGAAATTTAATGTTGTATTGATTGTTTTATTCTTAGCCTTAAAATGCACCGCGGTGTGCCATTGCGATTCACTGCACTTCAACTTTTGTATAAAAACGCATGATGTTAACGCACTGACATGTGGCCAACCGTCGTACGTTTCCTGACCCAGTTCGTCAATATAATAGTCGATGTAGGTAGGGGTTGTTATTCTCACCAGGGACTTCCAAAGGGGGTTGTTATTCTGAATTTGAATTGGCTGTCGCATGTTTTTCATGGGTTTTGACTAAGAAAGGCTCATTTTAGAAACCAAAGAACGCCCTACTATATATATATATATATACATGTCCAATATTTCTCTATTGCGGCGGACCACAATGGAGCCAAAACGATACGGTGCAGTTGCGGCTGACCGTATCTGCTGCACACCGCATTCTGGCCAACCACTATTGCGTTCTAAGCCTTAGTACTACTGCAAATGTATGATATATGCCTGCCCCATGGGGCATTAGTAGTAGAAGTGTATATATTAATCAACAGTGTGGTGACGGATTAGGAATACGGAGTGTCACCACCCCTATTTATCCCGTGGGTGTCGTAAGAGCCGACTATGGGAGCAGACTCCAGAAGAAAACAGCACTGCAAAGAGAAGGGAAACTTGAAACAAACCCTATACCAACCCGTCTGGCCAGCGTGGTATAGTAGGCCAAAACCGTGTGCGTTACCCCAGCAAAATAATGTCGAAAATGGTCATTTAAACGTTATAGATAATTAGTTGCTCCCCTTCTGTAATTGTTAAGCACATTTTTAAATTTGTTTCTCTTAAACTTTTTTAGTTATTTCAAAAAAACATTTCCTGCTGGGGTAACGTTTGAAACGTTACCGCAGCCAGACATTTTCTTTTTTAATTGTAATATTGAAATAAATTTTAGCTAAATAATTAGTTATCTGGACTAGGTAAATGTTACAATTTATTTGGTATTTGTATTTTCTTCGGCTGCGAAGTTATTCGAGATCCTGCTGGAGTAACGTTTGTGGGTTTGCTGGATCTCTGAAACGGGTAAGCGGATTGTAACCATCTTTTGTACATAACTTCTTAAGGATTAGTTTTAATTTGTTCGACAGTAAAATAACAAAAATAATGGACCGTTTAAAAATTATTTAGGTAAGTATGAAAACACTTCAATACGTCCTAACACTTTGAATAAGACCTCTAAAGACTTACTTCAAACGTTATTCTATTGCTTGTAACTACCTTCAAATGTATACGAATTTTCGTAAGTATACTGTAAGTGACTAAAAAGTTGTGATGAAATATAGCTCTCCACGTTCACGATCACAATGTGTGCGGCCTTTTTTGGCCACCGATAAACCTGTGTGGGGATATATAAACTGAATGTTATGCCAATAATTAGTTGTTTAGTTCAGTTGTCTACCTGTAAAATTTCAGCGTCGTACATATAATAATTTACGAGATAATTAAATAAAAGTCATTAGAAGGTGCAAGACCGTGGTAACCCGACCATGTTTAGGTGGTTACATAAAAGCGATCACCCAGTACATTGTGCTGGCTTTTAAAATATGTAGTATATTATTTGCAAGTTTACTACGGATATGTACATAAGTGTTACAAAAAACTACATGTTTTTAAATAATTTTTATTTAGGATTGTTTATTGCATAATTAGTAATCAGCCGGGAGATTAGGTATTGTTTTGAATGCTTTTGTTTTCTCGTAATGTTTAGGTGAATTGTTTATAGTTGTTCATAGAATTGGTACCTGTGTAGTATTTGTTAATTGAAGTTTAATTTTAGGGTAGGTATAGGTAATTTAAGTTTTGAAGAGTGTAACGTATGCGTTGTAAATAGGTATTTTGTAAATAGATTGGGATTTTTTTAAAGTGATAAATCGACTTAGGCTAGCATATCGCGAACAAACTCTGCAGTGCATTATTTCTGTAATAATGTTGGAGAAAATAAAATATTTGATCACATAATCGCGGTGAGTTAAATTATAATAAAATAAATTATTTATGTAAAATTAGTAATAGTGATATACCTACAAGTTATGATCGTTTTTAATTTGTTCACCCCGAACGAAATTTCAAAATTAGCATTAGTAATTAACATCCTAAGACAAGAATTCGCAATTACTTAAATTGAATCTAATTAGCATTAATTCCCATTACTAGTAATTAGGTACACACATATTGAAGAACTCCCAAGAATACGATAAATATTTGCAAAAATAGAAAGCGGAAGCGCACACGCACTTTACAAGACGTATATTATCTGCCTAAGGGTCAAGTTTAGTGCACTAGATGCAAATTGCAAACAATGAAGTATCCCTTCGCCCGTCCCCTCCTGCGTTCTAGCTAAGGATGTATTATCGGCGATTCTTGATTGACAAATATTATCTGACCAATAATTTTATCTATAAAAATGTATCACTTTCACTCGATAAATTAAATTACCGTTATTATATCAAAATATCATTCAACAACTGTTCGTTTTTAACAGAAATCAACAGTCACAGGTAGGTACATAGGTATAGATAATTCTCGGTTCTCGGTATAGACCACAGAACAATATTACCTACTCTTACGAGGTATACGACTGTTGGGCGATGCAATGTTGATGCATTCTAATTTACAACTATATTCTTCTACTATTATGGTATATTTTAACTAATTGTAGATGACTTGTTTCTTTAAATATTTTGATGCATTCAAGTCTAAGCTCTATATACCTCAAAATAAAATACAATTACTTCAGTGTTATTTCTTTACAAAAAAAATCAAAGAAATGAAACGATTTCTTAATGGTTTAAATTTTCGATTTATTGCAGTCAGGTGAATCGTTCATACATGTATCTACATATTTATAATTTTAGCGGGCCAGTGCAGATTTTCTGTTGATTGTAGCTCCCGTAGTTAAACAGACTAAAGAAATTTTAAGTAAAGAAACTAGTGCTTAAGATCAATTAGGAAAAAAGAACAAAATAAATAATAGGTAATAATAATGAATAAATATTGAATGTATTTAACACGTACAGTACAGCAACTGTACCGAAATCGTAAGGTGTATTACACTTAACATTTTAAAAGACAGCGCAATGTACTGGGTGATCGCTTTTTTGTAACTACCTAAACATGATCGGATTACCACGGACTTGCACCTTCTAATGACTTTTATTTAATTATCTCGTAAATTATTATATGTACGACGCTGAAATTCTACAGATAGACAACTGAACTAAACAACTAATTATTGGCATAACATTCAGTTTATATATCCACACACAGGTTTATCGGTGGCCAAAAAAGGCCGCACACATTGTGATCGTGAACGTGGAGAGCTATATTTCATCACAACTTTTTAGTCACTTACAGTATACTTACGAAAATTCGTATACATTTGAAGGTAGTTACAAGCAATAGAATAACGTTTGAAGTAAGTCTTTAGAGGTCTTATTTAAAGTGTTAGGACGTATTGAAGTGTTTTCATACTTACCTAAATAATTTTTAAACGGTCCATTATTTTTGTTATTTTATTGTCGAACAAATTAAAACTAATCCTTAAGAAGTTATGTACAAAAGATGGTTACAATCCGCTCACCCATTTCAGAGATCCGGCAAACCCACAAACGTTACTCCAGCAGGATTTCGAATAACTTCGCAGCCGAAGAAAATACAAATACCAAATAAGTTGTAACATTTACCTAGTCCAGATAACTAATTATCTAGCTAAAATTTATTTCAATATTACAATTAAAAAAGAAAATGTCTGGCTGCGGTAACGTTTCAAACGTTACCCCAGCAGGAAATGTTTTTTTGAAATAACTAAAAAAGTTTAAGAGAAACAAATTTAAAAATGTGCTTAACAATTACAGAAGGGGAGCAACTAATTATCTATAACGTTTAAATGACCATTTTCGACATTATTTTGCTGGGGTAAGGCACACGCCAAAACCTTCTTTTTAAGTAGAGGCCTAAGTCCAACAGTAGATTGGCTGTTGATACTGATAGATATATATGTTTACAGGGCTCGGACTTTCCGGCAACTGCCAGTTTGAGGAACCAATGCTGTGTCGTGGGGGACTTTACAAACATACATGAAACGGATGGATTTCACAAAGTGTCGTCCCATGTGGGGTTTGAACCCACAACACTCAGCGCAGTAGGAAGCGGAGTGGCGACCGCTTAAACATGTCATAATGATAATGGGTTAATAAGTAGCCAATCGCAGCTTAGTTTAACAGAAACAGAGGGAACTATCGGGCATCCGTCTCTCTCCTTGCCTATATCGCTTCCAATTTTTTTTACTATATTGTGGCACTCTAACAAAAAAAGTGGAATACTTATTGCAGCAGGATCATTCATTGCCTTGGAAATTGGTATCCCCAGTAATATCCATGTAAATAATGTAATGTGAAGAACTTTCTGAATCTCTGTTTTTACCTGAAATTGTTTACTGCTTGATATAGGTATATCATTGAGGTTATATGTATAGTTGTCAAATCGGAAAATATCTACATTTTTCCACTCAATATTTTCCAAGAGGATATAGTAACGCCATCTGTCGAGTAAGTATCAAAAGTTCAGCAAAAGGGCCTACATTTCGAGACCAAACAGATTTTATATTTACCAAATAAGTCCTGAAATTCAAATTAAAGATGGCCATCACTTTGTGTCATTACCTTACCTAACAAAAATACATAACTTGCAACTCAAAATAGTGCAGAAAACATTGATTTCTATATTCTGGTTCATCGCCATCTGCATATAAATATAATAGGTGAGTATATGCTTGATCTGACTTTTTAAATTACTGTAAGTAGGTATATTTCTGCCTAAGATGGAGAAAAGAAGGGTTCTAGACTGTATCAATGATTGATGTTTGACAAAATTTATAAGGGAATCTGGCAAAAGTTCCTACTTTAGCTTTGTGTGCCTACTCATTTAATTATTGAAAACTCTCTGCGACTCTTGTAGGTATTCCGTTCCAAGAACTGGAGTAGCATTGTTCGAAACTTCGAAACTATTGCAACTTTTAAATCATTATGCATTTGATGTAATGGTTGGTTTTAGTCACAGCGGTTTCACATGTCATTGTGATTTCGTCATGGACAAAGATAGTGTATTAAAATCAATCAAAAATATTTTTTCGCGAGTCTTGCGCTAGGGTAATAATAATAATTAAGTAGTAGTGGTTTTGTAAATCAGTCGCAGGTGTGGTGAAATGATTTCTAAATCATATGCTTTATCATACGTGATTGTGATTTTATTCCAGCGCTAGCGTGCAGTATGAATATAACGTATTTTCCTCCAAATATCATTGCCAGCAACGCACTTGTGTCTCTTGAGTTACAGATGTCTATAAGCGGTGGTACTCACCATCGCGTGACTCGTCTGGTCGTTTACTCTCCTGTATCGTAAAAAAGCCAGAAAACGTATAAAGATACTTACTGATTGCAATTAAACGTATGTAGCTAATTATGAAAAGTGTTTGACACTGGAATTTCATACATATAGGCCAAAACATTTTCATTACAAATGGTTATTTCTATTATTTATTAAAGCTTAATGTTAATACAAGCATAATATGTATATTTTTTATAATAAACGTAAGTGTTATGGTACATGCTTCGTGTTTGCAGTTTCCCAGCTTCAAATATCGGTAGGTGTAATTTAAAAATAAATAAAGATTAGTTTAAATTATAACCAAAAAGCCTAATGAATATGAAAAGACATGACTTCATTTTGTGATTCAAAATTAAGTAGGCGCTTAGATAATTATCTAGAAATTTCTAGTCCTTTTTCAGTCCATTATGCTGTTATTACCGCCATCTAGTCTATATGTTATCCGTGTGGTGACGGATTAAGAATACGCAATGTCACCACACCTATTCATCCCGTGGGTGTCGTAAAAGTCGACTAAGGGAGTAAACTACTCAAGACGACACTGCAAAGAGAAGGAAAACTTGAAACAAACCCTGTACCAACCCGTCTGGCCAGCGTGGTATAGTAGGCCAAAACCTCCTTTCTAAGGAGAGGCCTATGTCCAGTAGTGGACTATTACAGGCTGTTGATGTGATGTGATGTGTGAGTCTATATGTTATCTTCCGTCAATCCTTTATACGCTTTCTGTACATGTTCCGACAGTGATTATAAGGTGGTGCCGCTGCTAGTCTGCGAGTGTGTCCAGTCTTTGAGTCTTCTTGCGTTTACTGTAGCATGTTTTTTTATTTGACTTCCGCTCATTGAGCGCGCGTTAGGCCATTAGATGGTACGTGTGTTAGATTCTACTTATCATATGCGACTACTATGAAAACCACTTCATTTTTTGTTACAATATTTCAGTTGCGCAACAGAGAAAAAAAAACCATTTCTCCACTATATAGTTTACGTATTCAGTGCTATGTAAACTCAACGATTAACTGTCAATTTGACAGCTTTGTGAGTGCAATTGTAGTCAAAATGTCGTACCCATAAGTGTGTAATAAAAAATACAAAACAACCGCTGCTGAATCAGACAAAATGGTATTCTCTTTAATTTTCGCCATGTGCTACTAGCTGATCTAACGATCAAACCTTACAGGTAAATAATGTTACTAATGGTGTTTTATTCCCAAAAAAATTAGGATGTTTGCTTTCATTCGTAATAAATAAACTGTATACACTGCACGGATGGTGTAGTGATTTAAGCGGTCACCTCGCCGTTTCCTACTGCGCTGAGTGTTGTTGGTCGGTCGGACCACCACATGGGGCAACACTGTGTGATCCACAAGTTGTAGTTCTGAGTCTGGGTGTTTTTTGTGTCCATTTCATGTATGTCTGTAAAAGCCCCGCGACACAGGTTATATTCCTAGTGCGGGAATTGTCTTATTAAAGAAAAATAAAATTCTCAGAGTGTAGGCAAATATCATAAATGGTTTTAGGAACTCTCAGAGGTGTAACACCTCTAGATAATTTTGAGCTTAGTTCTTAAATTCATTAGTCCATGTTAACATTACAGATGTTACCCAAACATTAAAATAAAAAACCAAACATTTATAGAATCTCTATTAGCCTCCCACATTCCAGATTCGACGTTGTCAATCCAACGATGTTTAAACAAAAAACGCGTTTCCTTTTGGTATTGTATACCTAAACCTAAAACTTCCAAACCCCTCTTTCTACTTTATTCTAAGGGGCACAAACACAAGAAAATGAAAAAAAAGAAGATAAAATCTACAACAAACACATACAGTCGCTCGTAATCCTTGTTTGTGAACTTCCAGGTTACGCAATAATTGTATCTGTTTTTTTATTACATGAACCTCAGGAAAACCTAGTAATACACTCTGTGCGTGACCGAGTTATTTAGATTTTTACTTATTTTTAGGGTTCCGTACTTCAAAAGGAAATACGGAACTCTTATAGGATCACTGTTGTCCGTCTGTCAATACACTTTATCTCGGGAGCGCGTGGAGGTATCGAGTTGAAATTAAAACCATCTACTTAAACCTACAGTCCCTTGAAACTATGAAAAAATCAAACTTCTAAATTTACGACCGTTTATGCCGCAAAAAAACGCATATATCGCTTATATCAAGGGAATCCAAATTTATAGGGTACTTCCCGTTGACCTGGAACTATTAAATAACGTCGTCTTAGACTAAAGGTACAGGGAACATCTGAAAACAATATTTTTTTAATAAAATCATAAAAAATATAGTTTTTATTTTAAGTACGTAATAAATTATCAAGGTAAAATTTCATTTTTAAAACAAAATAATATAAGTAATTATAGGTTTTGAAAACTTAATTACGGGAAAAGCTCGGAAAAAACTGCGAGACTCGATTCCTGAACTGAACGGATCCCTCCTGTCTAAAGCGTAATATAGCACACCGTGTGATTTTAGTCGGTTCGGTTCCGATACACCAGCCCACCGGACAGCCCGAAGGGGTGTCCACACGTACAAAAAAAAATTACAAAGGCTGTTCTACAACTTTCACGTCAACGAGAATATTATTCGCCCCTAACACCCTGCTTCTGCAGGGTGTTAGGGGCGTTTACGTACGTACGCGGAGTATGGGTTTATTACGCCTTATCCTATGTTAACCAGACTTTAAAAGTACTTAAGTATATATTTCTAAATACATATATAGTACAGATAAATTACACCCAGACACAGAACAAACAATCGTGCTCATTACACAACTATTAGTCCTAAGTCACGACCTCTACATAACTGATACTATTCACGATGTATTTTTTCATTAAAATTGCTATTTAAATAACTATTTAGCACTTAGTTTAAGAGTTACCATCACAATGAAATGACAACAATACATGATGTACTATTTGTTTCAGTTGTTCTCAATTCGACAATGGTAGAACGGACAGGTTTTATCATCTTCACCTTGTGGTACTTGGGGATCGCAATAAATTACTATCTGTAAGTGATCGTTACTATTAAAAATCATAGTTTAACATATTTTTTAAATTTTTACAGAGATAATTAATTTTTTAGTTGATGTGCACGAAAACTTATTTTAATTTTAATTTTTTATATAATCAAATGCTGATTCTGCGCTCCATTCTTTAATAGATTATTAGGAAATTATTTTTTGGTGATAGCAAAAGAAAAAATATATTATTTTTATAACTTAAAACAGACAATTGAAAAATCTTTTGAAACAACTATGACAAACTGCAGCAAATCCTACGCCGATAATCTCTTAATAAAAAACCAAAAGCTATTATCAAATTTGGAAAAGATTTTGTCATTGGACAGTTAATGCATCAAATTAAGCATATCTCATTTGGAGTTTAGACGTGTGTTGGGCGCAGCCCGGCCACAATCGATTTCGTAATTTATAGACGTATCAATTAAATGTTATTTTATTATTCTTGCTGTACCAATCAATAGATTAAATGTACCACAAATATATCTTGTTAAAAAAGCAATTGTTTGTGGCCTGGAAGCACCGTATACGTTGCAGGTACTAAATGGGTAAGATGATCAGAATTTTCTAAAATATAAACGGATAAAATGTTCCTTTTGTGTTCTTTATTTTTTTCCATGAAATATACTAAGAGAAACGCTTACATAAACAGAAAATGATTTCAAATAATAAATTGCACCAAGCGCCTTCGCCTCTTCCTTTTTGAATAATTTCTGACATACTTACATTGCTATTTCAGTAGTTTAGGCGCTTAATGACATTTCTTATTTGAAATCATTGTCTGTTAATGTAAGCGTCTCTTGGTAAATTTTAATGATAAAAAATTAAGAAGAACACAAAATGACACATTTTTTTAGTTTATATTTTAGAACATTCTGAGCATCCTACCTATATTATATACTTGGCCGGGCTGCAACGTATACGGTGCTGCCCCCGCAAACAATTGCTTTTTTAACATGATTTTTGGTACATTTAATCTATTGATAAGTACAGCAAGAACAATAAAAGAACATTTAATTGATACGTCTATAAATTGAGAAATCTACTGTGGCCGGGCTGCGCCGCAACACATTATTTGGACTACATTAACCGAAATTTGGATATTTTTCTTTCCATATCAAAGTTGATCATTCTATTTTCTATTTTCATTTATATAATTTCACGCTTTCGTAAAAAGCTTAGGGTCCATCTTTGATTGAGTACCACTCTATTACGATTACCATCAAAAGTCTTAGATTTACTCCTTTAATAAAAACTAAGTATTAATCTTCTATTACTGTTGCTTTCGATCTAGTTGTAGCATTGGTCGACCATTACTGACGAAATTACTTCGTGTATTGTAAACGACACCACTGAACCACACCACTCTATTTATTTTTCGTTAACGCACCACGTTAAATTATACGCAATGACTTTAAAGCGGCGTACAGCTGGCAATCGCTATCCTCGTCTGACTAGTGATGTTACGCGCCAACTCTCTTTCACTCTGGCTTAAATATTTACGATCTTTAACAGCCAGCAACCCTTATTTGCGGCTACATTTAATTAGGCAACCGTATATCATAATAAACACACAAAAAATAACTTTAATTTGATATATAAATAATAAACGTACGTTATGAACGTATAAATGTCTCAAAATCATACCTGTTTACACCTGGCTGCGAAGAGGTGCGGCCGAGTGCGCAACGGCAACCGTGATTTTTCAGTCTTTATATATATTGCCGTAAAGTGGACGATATTTTATTTAAAACGAAATGTTTTCCCAAAAATCAATTAACAAAAATTTAATTAAAAATACTAGCGGCCACATTTCGATAGACAGCCTGGTAGATATAAAATCTCCTTATCATAAAATGGGTTTTAGCACATTCTCGATGAGTGCATTGATTCTGCAGCCGGATCTTAAACTATACCTACTTAAGGTGGGGTTCCCTCTACCTGGCAGAATCTTGTTGCTCCGAAATTTATTTCGCATAGCACACTTGGCAGAATCTTCTTTAGACGAATATTTTTAAGGCATAAAAATTATTCAATATAATTATTGTTAGGCCGAATGTTTATGTGTCCGAATTTACAATGGCATACTTTTAAGATGGCACCATTTTATTTAGCATAATTACCTTTGTCAGAGTTAAAATGCCGCATAATTTCGTTTAACATTCCGTTTATCTTGAGCGACGATTATTTGGTACAATTTCTTTTGGTATAATTTTATTAGGTATATTGTCATTATAGTGTAGTAGGCCAAAACCTCCTTTCTAAGGAGAGGCCTATGTCCAGCAGTGGACTATTAAAGGCTGTTGATGATGATGATGATTGTCATCATATAGCATTTCTAACCTCTAATTAAAATATTATCTTAAAAAGTCATATGTCTTGCAAAACCGACTCCACGTTGTCTTGTCTGCCTTACCCCTAGAGTGTAATTTAAGCCCGCGTAGGCTCGGAGGGGCGAAGTGGCCTGCGAGCTGAGGAGGAAGTGGTTTCAAGGCTCGCTGCCGCGGCTCAGGCTGGCCAGCAAGCCGAAGCTACGGTGGTGAGCGTTGAATTCATCTGCGACGATAATCTCGCGTGGGACCGTGACAGATATGCTGCATTTTTGCTTGCATGCTGCATGCTTGCGGGCTTTATTTTTGTGGTAAGAAATATAAAATGATGGATAGATATAGTCTTTCAATTCTTATAAATATGATTCTCACTGTAAACTTCCTGAGTATGATAGTTCTGCTTTTAATGAAATCGATATGAAATTTATGTTCAAAGACGATTCTTACTATGAACTATCGGTGATATGATGGTTCTACTTTGATGATTATGACTAACAAAATTATGAGTTTTGAATGTATGATAAATGAGTGTCTACGTGAAGTTTATGCTATCCGTTGTTATGCAAAATAATATTATGACATAAAAAGTTCTGCTATAAAGGGTAGACCCCTCAAAGTGAATGACCCCTCACAAACTTTCAGATTAGGGAACTACTCTCCACTTATGCTAAGGTCAAAATTATGTCTGTGTATTATTTATGTGGCCCAGAAGCAACGAACCCATTACATTTAACACTTATATAACGTTAATATTTAATAACAAACTAAAAAACCTACGAGAGCAACATAAAACAAGCCAAGTATAAACCATCTAAAAAAGATTTAATTATAAACATCGGGTGTAATGGACATACTCCATCACAATTTCGTTAAAATTTATAGGCAGCTTAAATTATATAAACATCTTTAGTACTTACCTGTTTACTGAAACACGATTACAGAAATATTTTCATTCATAACTAAAAACGGTAGGCTATTAAAGTATTCAATCAAAATGATTATGTAATAGTGATAATTCTTGAAAATAAGTGGTTTTGAAATATTTTAACAGAGAATTACGATAAAATTTATTTGATTCCACATTTACTATAAGAAGACAATCAGTTAGTCAAAAAAAGGATATAGCACAGTGAACTATCTTAAAATATGTAAATTAGACTAATTTTATTTTTGCCCGCGGCTCCGCCAGCGTGTAGGTAAAGTAGTCTATGTTACTCGCTGATAATGTAGTTTTCTATTCGTGAAAGAATTTTTAGATTCGGTTTAGTGGTTTAGGCGTGAAATTTAACAAACAAATTAACTCACTTTTACATTTATAATATGAGTAGGGACATATTACTCAAATCTTCAATTCTTCCTCTCCCTTCAACTGTATTTAAACCATAAATGAAAAGTGAATAATATGACGATGAAAACAAATTTGATTAATAGAACAGATATTGACACCACTCCTACAAGGGATTACGCAACTCTTGGTATAGTGATTAACGGATTTGACTGCTCTGTTAGACATCTTGGGTTCGAATCTTCCCTGGATGTTCGATGAGTGTGATGTAACGTGATGAGAGGTGTCCCCCACAATGTGTTAATTTGTCTGCAATATGTAAATACATATGTATTTAGTAATACATAAGTATGTTTTCTAACAATTGGGTTTGGTAAGCCAACTGACTAAACCTGTACTACTGTAAGGATCTACCTAATTTGAGGGCATACGGCCGTATGCCGTCACACAACAAATCGGGTACAAATGTTCATATACTCGTAGATTTATGTACGTTTTTTACTAAAATACATTATTCGGGCTCTCTAATAAGATACCCTGAAGGCGTACACATATAAACATTGATTATTATTTACGGCCTACGACGGCCTTGTCAGAAATATCCACGAACAATAAACACACACATATTTCAGGTAACATTTGATAGCTAACGTCACGTGAATCTATTTATAGACAACAATATGGGCTTGAATATTTAGATTGTGGTTGTTGTGTTCGTGTTTGATATAGGCAAAGGAATTTCAAAGGGCCTAGAAGGTTCATTATGTTTAAATGTGGCATTAATATTTTATGGTACATCGAATAAAACTAAGGTCAACATTGTCATGATATATTATATAAATTGAAATCAACGTTTCCAAATAAAGGTAAGGTGATAACAAATTCACAATGAATAAAATTAAATTAAATGTACCAGATAATAATAAAAAAATATTTATTATTTTATTTAATATGAATTTAATACTTAGTAAAAAAACATTGTGATCAAACTCAAAATATCTTTTTTTCATAACTTTTTTAAAATTGCTTAAATCGTCCTTTAGCAAATCTCTATTTTGTCAAAATAAATTTAGTAACAATTATACTTATACAAAATCTATGGTATTGCTTTTATCGACCTACAACCGCCCGTTTCCAAAGGGTTGAGCCTTATGAGAAGAAAGGACAAAAAAAACTCATGGCCATTCTTTTGGAACTTACAGATAGATACAATGACATCATTAATTATACCACAACATTATTTTGATGTGTGCTAGTATGTCCGTTATTAAGGACTTAAAAAAAAAAACAAAGCGACCATAAACACTAGCCTACATCACATTTCCATTTAAGAAGCCTAATTAGCCTGTGCCAAATTAATCCCAAGCATTTTTTTCTTCTATGTAATCCACAATTG